CCCGCCTCACCCGGCAGCCCCACGGGGCCCTGCAACGAACGTGCATCGACTATGATACTTAAAATTTTTTTTTAAATTGTACGCATAGAGATCAACATTTTACGTATAAGTATGCCGCCGACTAGGACTACACAATGATTTTACAACCGAAGGCGGCAATCGAGCAAGCGTGTCCTTTGTTGACAACAATTCGCTGCCCGCACGCATTCGCACTAGCTAATGTAGGTAATGCCGAAATGATAGCTATTGTATAAAGAAAGACAAACATATCTGATAGTCTAAAATCTGAACATTAATTAGTCTTATGTCTGAAAAATACATCGCTTGATGGAAAGCTCGTAAGATTAGTAATTAGAATTCCGAAAAAAAATCGTTTTTACCAAGGTGGGTGAAAACTAACCGGTAGTCCCATTGGCCCCGCGTCTCCCTTTTCGCCTCGTTCACCCTAAAACAAAAAAAATAATTGTTAATTTGCTAAAAACTATCGAGCCACATATTCGCAGCATCATGTGATATGGTTTTTATGTTAGATCTAGTGGAGAGAAAAAAATACATAACCGTACCGCCTTGCCCCGTGCGCCCGGTTCGCCCTTGTCGCCCTTGATACCGGGAGGGCCTGCCACGCCCGGCGCCCCCGGCACGCCCGGCGCGCCCGGTGGCCCCATCATCTGTCCACAGCGCAGGGTCACTTACACGCATGTTCATTATATTCTACAGTAATTACATTATGAATATACATTTTCCCTTACAACCGATTGAACATTTTAAGATTATTAAAAAAAGAAGGCAACGTAAGATAAAAATTGTGGGATTTATATATCTGAAATTCATGGGATTATTAGAAAAAACATCTTCCATTTGTTAACCTCTATCGACCACTGTTGAACATAATCTTCTTACTAGTCCTTACGGCGTTAATAGAAAGGGGGGAAAAGTGCAACACTTCAAACTATGGTGTAGAAAGTAATTTCAGTTTCTAAGAAATTTTACAATAATTGTTCAACATGCAAACGATTTGTACAACATGTAACCGAAATCATTTAAATACGAGTAAACGGAGGAGCCAAAGGGCCTCCGGTTCCTCTCTCGTCGCTCCAAAAGCAGAATACTTCACTCGACGGTCTTGTTTCGAGCTGGCCCTGCAGGCGAATACTACTGTTGTTTAAGGCTTTTTGGAATAAAAAGTTACGCCAGACATTTATTCTTAACGAGTTTTTTTCATATGCGTAAAATTTATTCGTAATATGTGGTGAACTGATCAATGCCATCTTCTCCGTAGCGTTGTTGTTTAGTAGCAAGTAAATGCCGCAGCTTTTAGCGTCCGGAAATGTCCAAACCGAGTGGATTTTTGAAGCATGTTACGGCACGGGAAGCGCACGAGGCGCGGGGTGCGGGGTGCAGGGCGAGGGGCGCGGGGCGCGGGGCTCGGGGCGCGGGGACGACCACCACTTACCATTTCATGTCCGTACAGCTCGTAGCCGGTGCCGTCTCCCTGCAAATTCAACAGTGGCTGTAAGGAGACAGTTCTTTGGAACAGAAATAAGTACACCAAATCAAAACATTACAAAGCTACAATCTAGAAACATACTGTATAACGTATAATAATTATAATACGTCATTTGTAGACATTAAATATTTGTATTATGGCACGTACTGCTTTGTACTTATTTATGCAAATTTAAATTCAGTTTTACCCTCTTCGCGTTGGAGGGTTTATACTTCAAACGGGTATATAGGTGAAACATAAAAAGTTTATTTATGTTTATATCGGGCTTTCAAAAGGTTTTTTATTCGGTTCGATAACACCGCCGGCGGTAAAGATTTAATAATTTGTATTAAAATGTAATTGGACGCATGGATATTATTTTTCAGAAGGTTCACAGTACACTTGCCGTAAGCGAAGGTTTACCGCTTTACTAAGTAGACAGTACACAAATAAGGGTTGCGCTAAGGAGTATTATAGTGCTGTGTATCGACAGTAGATTACAGCGGGCGGGAGGAGATAGTTACCTGTCTTCTTCTCAGCTTCCTGTACTTCTGCGCGCGGCCGCCGGCGCCACATGCAACATACAGCGACACTCAACAACAATACACTCACATCATTAGTTGAACACCAGTGCGTGCGGCGACAGAAACGTGACTTGCACGCGTCCTCTATGCCGCGCCCCTTCTTATGAAAAACGCATAAGTATAAACAAGTGAACCGCCGTGTGCTGTGAGATCACACCTCTTTGTCTATTATGAAAGCAGCGAAGGGGGCGGTTCAGAAAACCAAAGGGCCCGACGGAGAAACACTCACCGAGTCTCCTTTATCGCCCTTGTCGCCTTTCAGTCCGGGATAGCCGGGCGGGCCGGGCAGGCCTGGCGCGCCTAGCATACCGGGCGAGCCCATATCGCCGTAGTCGCCCTTTACTCCTTTCGGTCCTATTTCGCCCTACAATGATTGCAGTTCAAATATTTCAATTTATGTTATTTATGTAATTGTTCTATTCGTGAATCTCATATAGGTTGTTAAAAACTTATTAAAATCTCAAACACAGAATAGCCCATGAAATGTGCTCATGACGGATGATCAATATTTAAACGAGGTACCTGTTCGTAAACCGATCTGAGGCAATCACTAGTGATAATGATTGACAAAAGTTTGATGAGAACCAGTACAGTGAAACGTTACCGGCTTTCCAGGGGGGCCGGGCAGGCCTGTGGCGCCGGGCCTGCCGTCTGCGCCGGG